ATACGGGTGGCTCGAAGATCGCCGCCACCGCCGCTTGAAGATCGCCGCCGCCGCTCGAAGATCGCCGCCTCCGCCACCGCTCTCTCCCCTCTTCGAAGATCCCCAAATCAAAGCTGCGACTTGGCCGCCGCTCAGAGATCTCCGCCACCGCCGCTCGGAGGTCGTCACTGCTGGTCGGAGATCGCCGCCGCCTCCGCTCTCCCCCCTCAAAACCCTATCCTTCGGCGCCGTCGGCTTCTCCGTTCTCCCCTCTTTTCCGCCGCCCAAAGATTGCTGCCGCTGCTTAGAAATCAAAGTGAGTCTTTTATCTACAATTTCATAGCATAATCAGTCTTTTATCTACAATTTACTTATTGAATGAATAACTACTAAGGCTTTGGATTTGGTTTTGACCTCAAACTGTATCTTTGTTGTCTGTACACATGTTACAAAGGAAATGCCAAATCCTGGCTTTCTCTAGATAGCCATGAGAGGATTTAGAAAGTGAAATATTCTATTTTGTTAATATAATTTCTTGCTAACTATTGTGTCTTTTAGTTGAATTTTTATTTCCTTAATCAAATGCTTTGTGCCTGAGTCGACAAGGGAATCTGGTCCCTTTATTATGTAGTGTCTGCTTTGTCATCTTTCATCTTGAGAAAGCATCTTGATATTAGCTAAACAAGGACATCTCTACTTAGTATCCCTATCTGACATTCTTCATGTTTCTTGAGCTAAACAAGGACATCTCTACTTAGTATGCTTATTACTTAGTTGTAGTGTGAAGAATTGTCAGTTTTATATTTTTTCTTCTCAAAAAATTGATGCCACAACCTTCTATTTATGTATCTGCATGGTTGTTCATAATTGACATGGTACTCTGCTTAAGGATCTTTTTTACATTGAATTATAATTTTGTGATGTGATGTCAAGAGTTGATATTAAGCTAAATTTAGTCATTATGAATTGGTATTGCATTTTATGAATGATATTTACCGGTTGCAATCCATTGTAAATTAAATTAACCTGGTCTTTGTGCTTTGCAAAGTCTTGCTAAGCTAAATTGTACAATTTACTTTTTTGAAACTTGTTTATCTTTATTTTGATCGTGCCACATTTTTAATGTGCTGAATTTACTTTCTAAGAAATTTTATCGCTAACTTTGACTAATTTAGGTTGGTATGGCACGTGACTATATCATAGTTAAGGATTGGATGTATGTGAATCGTGAAAAACGCACAAAGCCTGAATTCATTGAAGGAGTTGCCTCTTTCATAAATTTTGTGCGTGAACACGATAGGATCCAATATGGGATGATTCTTTGTCCGTGCAGTCATTGTGGGAATAGGCTGCATCGTAAGGAGGAAGATGTAGAACTTCACATTATTAAGCATGGTTTTATTAAGGATTATACAATTTGGGTATATCACGGAGAAATCGTACGTAGCTCCTAATATTGCCGATAATGAAGAAGAAGACAATGAAGAAAATTTATTTCCAGAAGAGGAGATGGAGGAAATGATAGAAGTTGCTTTTGGTGACTCCAATCTTGCTGAAGATGATCATCCTTCCGGACAAGAACATGTAGATGAGTATGAGAAGTACATGAAAGATGCCAAAAGACCAATTTATGAGAATGCAAAATATTCCACACTATCATGGTTCGTTCAACTTTTCCAGATTAAATGCCTAAATAAATGGAGCAACAAGTCATTTACGATGCTTCTAAAATTCCTGAAAGATTCTATGCCTCTGGGGAACAATGTGCCTCAGAGCTGGTATGAAGCTAAAAGGATAATGTCAGATCTGGGTTTGAATTGTGAGAAGATTCATGCATGTCCTAATGATTGTGTACTGTTCTGGAAAGAAAATTCTAAACTGAAAGAGTGCCCTAACTGTGGAGTTTCTAGATATAAGAAGAAAGCACATGCTAACAAGAATGACATACCAGTCAAGGTGGTACGATACTTTCCTGTGACACAGAGGCTGCAGAGGCTCTACAGGTGTAAGAAGACAGCGGTGGCAATGACTTGGCATGACCGTGCTATTCCAAGTGAACATGGTAAAATGAGTCATCCAAGAGATTCGCCAGCATGGAAGGATTTCGACAAGTTGCACACAATATTTAGTCAAGATCCCCGTAATATTAGGCTTGGATTAGCTAGCGATGGTTTTTGCCCCTTTAGTTTTAATGGCAATCCGCACAGTACATGGCTTGTTATAATGATGATATATAATCTTTCACCGTGGTTAGCAATGGATCAATCATATTTTTTGATGCCTCTTCTTATTGATGGGCCGAGTTCACCGAGCAACAATATCAACGTCTACCTTTGACCTCTCATCGATGAGTTACAGTCTTTATTCGTTGATGGTGTAGAGACATATGATACAGACAAAGGGGAAACATTCACAATGCGTGCAGCCTTAATGTGGACAATTAATGACTTTCCTGCATATGGAATGCTATCAGGTTATTCTGTACACGGTTATAAAACATGTCCTTACTGCCATGCCGATACATCATCGACATGGTTGCCCTTTAGCAAAAAAATCTGTTATTGCGGTCATCGACGTATGTTGGAAGAAGATCATCCTTATAGGGATGATGCTGTTCACTTTGATGGTACTACAGAGCATAGAAAGGCTCCAGTCCCCCTATCCGGAAAGGACATACTTGCTCAGTGGAATGTTTACGGAAATATAACTTTTGGAAAAGTAAAGGAAAGACAGGAAAGACCACAAGGATGGAACAAAAAAAGTATTTTCTTTGAATTTCCCTATTGAGAGACAAATACCGTGCGTCACAATCTGGACGTGATGCACATTGAGAAGGGAGTATCTGAGCACATACTTAACTTGCTTCTTTGTAAAGATGGAAAATCAAAAGACAACCTCCAAGCTCGGAGAGATTTGCATCACTTCAACATTAGAAAAGAATTGCATCCTGTACCTAAAGCTGGTAATCTGGGCAAATTTGTACTCCCCAATGTCGTTTATCATATGTCAAAATCAGAAAAAATGTTTTTAGAGGTATTACATGAGCTGAATGTTCCCACAGGCTTTTCAGGATCATTTAATAAGAAGATAAAGACTGTGAAAGGCAAGATCGATGGCTTGAAGAGTCATGATCACCATGTTATTATGCAACACCTTCTCCCACTATCCCTAAGGACTTCTCTTCCAGAATCCGTTGGTTTAGTGATCAATGAACTTTGCACCTTCTTTAGAGAATTGTGTGCTAAAAATGTCGATGACAAGGAGCTAGAAAAGCTAGAGAAAGCGATACCTTTGATATTGTGCAAGCTTGAGAGGATTTTTCCACCGTCGTTCTTTGATATCATAATCCACTTGATTGTTCATCTTGCAAAAGAGGCTAGACTTGTAGGACCGGTACAATATAGGTGGATGTATCCTATAGAAAAGTAACTTTAAATTTCCATTTGATGCAATAGATATAATTTTTATCTTCTACATTATTGTGTTTAGTAATTTAATGTGAGTTTTTGTAGGTACCTTTTGACTCTAAAAAATTATATACGAAATAGAAATCGGCCAGAGGGTTCTATTATGGAAGGTTATCTCTTGGAGGAAGTAACAACATTTTGTTCCCGTTATTTGGACGAAAAATATAGAGACAAAGCTCAATAGACCTGTGAGTATTCATGACGGAACATATGGCAAACTAACTTACACGACAATGGGACTCACATTTATTAATGATATACATCGATTTATCATCCTCAATAGCATATGCCTCGAGGAAGTTAGAGAGTAAGTATGTTTTATATTAATTGTTATATGCATGTATATATAAAATAATATGATGTTAATGTTATAACAATTCATGTTGAGAACAGAATTCACAAGGATGAATTACGTGAAGAGCATCCTAATTGGAATGTTGAACGATTGGAAAAACATCATCATGATAATTTTGTAGCTGGTTTATAAATTATGTAAGATTTTCTTTGTCAATATTTATATGTCATTATCTTAATCTAAATTTGTATCTTTATTTATGTGTCAATATTTATATAATCATCATGATAATTATATACATCGAGGCGTGAAGATAAAGATGCAGGAGAGAGTCCGAGGCAATCGAAATCAGGTAAAAAAGGAGTGTTATGAACTGTGGCTGGAGACTCCCCAAGAGAAAAGAGATGATCTTTTCAAGACAGAGGTGTTCGAAGGGATCGATAAAAGATGGTGGGACGACCTCTGCAAGTTATTTTCTTCTAATAGGAAGCAGGTATATGGTTAACAAATAATTCAATGATTGGCATGTGCTTATTTTTGGATCACAATCTAAATCTTACATTTTTGTGCAGGCGGAGGCAAAAAGAAATAAAGATAATCGGGAGTCAAAGAAGCGAGGTCGAGCAACCTATACGGGTGGCTCGAGGAGTATGGTTCGGGCAAAAGAGAGAGTGGTAAAATTAATCTTAAGAGTTTTAAAAAATGCATTTATTAATTTATGATACGATATCTTATACAAATTTATGTTTTGGTGAATTACAGAGAGCTCGCATCGAAGAATCGGGTGGCAGTTCAAGTGCATTAAAGGAGTATTTAGGTACCCATGCGACTTTAGTCGATCCAGGAGCTGATACATATTCATGTACATATCCCGACACCCAAACTCAAGAGTATTGTGTAAGTGTTATGCTTTTGACTAATTGAAATTTTTTTCTTGAATATGCTTATAATAATATTGTTGACTTAATATTTGAATACTTTATGTGGTGTAGGCTCGGGTGATCGAAAAGGCCAAATCATTAGGGGTCGATCGAGAACCCAAATCTACTGCAATGACCACAGTCTTAGATGATGTACATGGAGGGCATCATGGTGGTTATGAGAGAGGTTTGGGTCACGGTGTCACTAGATTTTATTTGAAGACTTCCTCCACTCCGACCTTCGCTACTCCTCCTGATGTGCTTCGTGAGATGGCGGAGCTTAAGGCCAAGATGGAACGACTAACCCAGCTTGTACGTATATATGGTTACTTTAATATAATTTTTTTTTCAATTCAGTTGGTTAATTAAATTAAAAGGAATAAATTTTGACGAGAGTACATGATAATAACAATGTATTTAATTTAGGAAGCTGATTTCAGAAGTTTATTTCTCACATTGCAAGATAGTTTATCATATATAAAACTCACAATTATCTTCGAAAGGGAAGTGAAACTGATCCTAAAAGTATAATGTAATATATCTGACTTTTATATCCATAACTATGATTCAATCCGTGTAAATTAATAAGAGTTTTATATCCTCCTGATGTGGACATTTATTAAATTACAAATTTGTGTGAGATTCATCTGAACGTGCCCTCTAAATATCATTACTTATACTTTACAGGTTGATTATCATACCGCTCATCCACCTTCTGCTCAGTCTTCTCCTGGTGCTCAGGGTTCGGCTTCTGCTCAGCCTTCTCCTGGTGCTCAGGGTTTGGCTTCTGCTCAGCCTTCTCCAGATGCTCATGGTTCTACTTCTGCTGCTCATCATTCTCCTCAGGATATTTCAACACAAAATCATATTACAAGTCGACTGGGGGGCTTGATAAGGGGTTTAACGCAGGAGGGTTACGGTGAGGACGACGTCCGCAAGGCTTTTGTTGATTTTCTTCAATTTAGTCAGTAGTGACTTGCACTTTTTAGATATTTGAGACATTGTATTTTGGATATTCTTTATGTTTGTGATTTAATTAGTTTAAAAATTACTACTCGCTTTTCATTTTAGTAAATTTTTTGTTTTGGCTTATAATTACGTATGGTAGTGTTAGGATCTTGAATTCATTTTATGATATTTATGTTTTTGGTTGTATAATTGCATGGGAATATTGCTATGAACAGGTTGATTAATATTGCTATGAACAGGTTGATAATGTGCACAAATAGTGCACGTTTTTGTACAGGTGTAAACATTCTGCACCAACGGTTGAAACCGTTGGTGCAAACAACTTGCACCAACGGTTGAAACCGTTGGTGCTGTTAATGCACAAGGTTGCAACGTTGTGCAAATTTCATCTACCATTAACCGTTCAGGGTGACATTATGCACATCTGGTTCCAACATTTGGTGCATGGTTTTTAATTTTAATAATTTAAAATTAAAAATATCTAGCATCCAACGTCTTAACGTCTGGTGATGATAAAAATCGTTCGGCATACTTACCCAACATATTGTCTCATCGCAGTATTTGCCCCACGTTCAATCGTTAGGTCACTATCACCCAACGTGAAACGTTGTCTGACCTCTTTGGTATAGTTAATAGACAAGTACAAGACTTAAGTGGATAATATGTATGGCGAATTTAAAATCCTAATCTTTATTTGTTACATATCAATCCTTGATATATGCTCAAATCCATACCTTATATTATAATTTTTTGAACTAAACCATCTTTGGCATGACATATATAATAATATACTATATCATATTATATATAATAGTATATATTATCATATATATATATATATATATATATATATAGAGAGAGAGAGAGAGAGAGAGAGAGAGAGAAACTTATGTCAACTTAAGTAGACGTCCACTAAGTTTCTTAGTCATTGATGATCACTTGATTGAGCTACATTGTGGATAATCCGCTCTGTTGAACTTGATCTACATATTCTAAAATCCCAACACACTAAATTTGGGGTGAACCCGTCGTGGTTTGACCATTCATCCACTCGTATCAATTTTAACTATTTCGAATGAATAGAACTTTTTACATGGTTCGACGGAGGGTCAAACCACAACGGGTTCACCCTAAATTTGATGTGTTATAGTTTTAGAATATGTAGATCAAGTTCAAAAAAATGGATCATCCATAATGTAACTCAATCAAGTGATCATCAATGACTAAGAAACTTAGTGGACATCCACTTAAGTTAACATAAGTTTCTCTCTCTCTCTCTCTCTCTAACATGATTTAGGAAAAAATCTTTAGGTAGACAAAAATACCCCTATAAAGTTTAAACTATCCTAATACTAATCAAATTCTAATTTTTAAAATATATTTCTAAAGATAAGTGATTCAAAACGTGGCCGCTTAAAGAAAAAGAAAAATAAGAAGAAAATAAAACCCATAAAATATATTTATGCACTATCTTGATGGGTCTGTTGAAAGTAATTTTTTAAAATATATTTCTAAAGATAAGTGATTCAAACGTGGCTACTTAAAAAAAGAAAAAGAAGAAGAAAAAAAGAAAATAAAAAAGACGCAAGCAGGTAGCTATGTAAATAGATAAGATAGTATTAGACAGTGTAGATGGAAGATGAAATAATTGTTGATACTTTCTTTTACTTCTAATTGGGAACTATGATAGGATTATAGTGTAATATTGAAGAACCACATACGAAAGCTATAGTCTTGGATAAGTCTCATATCCTTTTTAGTTTATGGGATACTTTCAGTTTGTATTTATTCTGCAGTCTTGGATAAGTCAATCTTAAATTGGTCCCCTTATTTTAGAACCTCTTTTGTTAGTGTCTTCTTCAACAAGTATGTCGTATTATTGTTGTAAATAGATTAATAATTATTTTGTTAGTGATACTTGTCAATTATTTATAACAATATATTTTTATTAGCATGATTAAAATTAATCACATAAAAATTAATTTGAATTAATAGATAAAATTATGCACATGGTTAGAAATATATTTATTTATAGGAATAGATAGGTCATAAGGGCTTGCTTGCAAATATAAAAGGTTGGGGGTTTTCTGCAAAAACTGCACACAGGAGTTCGGTGACCCCGATAATCTCGTGGGCTAGAGCCTGGATTTCATGCTCCCATATACACATGGATGAGATTATATAAAATCATAAATTAAATATCAACTCAATTAAGCCAAGAAAAAGATCCTCAAAGACTTCTAACTTAAATCAATTTCATAGCAGCCCCCATTAACCTACAGTCCCTTAATTTATATTAACTTAATTTTTGTGGTCTAATGGTGCCGGTTAGAAGAGCCATGTGAACTAAATGTCTTAATATTTATATTAATCTACAAGAATATAAATATTTCATAGAATATAAAATATTCAATTATTATCTACTCAATATCTTTAATCATGCATAGTGCATAGGTTTATAATTAGTTTATGAACGTATCTCTTTACAATGTTTTTAATTTTATAAGCAGAATACACAATGCAACATGTTTGTTTATTATCTTTGTAACTAAAGGTATATTCTATGCTGCGAATGTGTTTTTTTTGGTAAATGAACTGAAGTTTAATCATTTCCAAATGTATACATTGTGAAACATAACAAAAACCAGAAGTTATCTGGTAAACAATAAGAAAATAATTACAAAATCACTGTGAGATCTTTTATATGAACACAGGAACTATCATGCAGAACTTTTGTATAAATTGAAATTTTGATATCACGGAGAACCTGATTTGATCTCCTGGCTCTGCTCTGGAAAATTCTTAGATTTTGTTCTTTCCAAATCATATAAATTACAGCCGCAAGTGCCATCCTCTTCAATTTCTTCATAGGACCCTTGCCTTTCAAGTTATTAGAGTACCAACCAATGATCATATTCCAATCACAAGACCTCCATTTATACTTCAACCAGTCCATTACCCCGTTCCAAAATTTAGCAGCAAACTGGCAGTCAAAAAACAGATGTCTATTTGTTTCCAGTTGATGACTGGAACACAGAACACATCAGTTTTGATTTGAGTTCAAAACCCCCATTTTGCACAATCTATCCATGGTAAGAAGCCTTGATTGGCAAACTAACCAGACAGTAAAAGAGTGCTTAGGATAGAGGGAATTATCCCAAACTGTATCATACCATCTCACCTGATGAGTTGAAGGGACTAGAGCTTTGTATAATGTAGAGTGCTTACGTTTACCATTATATCTGCAGTCATCAATGGTATTCTTTAGCAGTGCAAAGCTTCCAAATTTATTCAACATCACAT